GCTGCACCCTAGTCTCCAGATATAGGAACCACAATAAATGACTCAGGGACAAAAGGCCTTAACGAGAAGAATGCCTTTCAGCCGTGGACTTTCCTGGCAGGGTGACTTCTGTCTCCAGGGCTGGTGGCACCATGTCCCGGAGGGAGATGGAGTGATGGGTCACTGCAGTGTGGGTACACAGGTGGCCAGTCCACGCTCACTGGCTGCCCTAGTGCAAGCGTGTTAGCAGCATGTGATATGGGGTGTTGAAGGTCAAGTCTGGGGTCTGGAGGACTGAGTTAGTGCTTTAGACCAGGGGCAAACTGCCAGGAGGGAAAAGTGGGACAGAGCTGAGTGGGGAGGTGTGTTAGCAGGTCCTTGTGACTGTCCAGAGGCGGGGTGAGGCTCCCCTTAGGGCAGGTGGCAGCAGAGGGGCAGCTGGGAGGTGTCTGTAAGGTGGAACCTGGAGGAGGGGCCCTCAGCTGAGACGGGTGAGAGGTGGCACCAGGCAGGTTTGGACCCAGATGGGGCAAACATGGACAGGATGCGAAGGAGATGCTGAGTTTGGGGTTACCCCGACTCCTTGAGCCTGAGCACTAGTGTCTGACCCTCCAGGGGTGCAGCGGGTGAGGTGGAGGCCTTGGATCCTCGGACACCAGCTCTGTGACCTCTCTGTAGGGAGTCACTGATAGCTCAGAATCTACGCCTCTCTGGAGGTTCAAATCCACCAGCAGCTTCCAAGGGGGGAAACCGGCCGTCTCCTCCTGTTTGATTTACAGCCTCAGAAACCCAAATGGGCGGTCAGCTGAGGCAGCCCCCACTCCACAGCAACCACAGTGACCAGGCAGCCCCAGAGCCCAGGGGAAGCAGCACAGCTAGAGTGGCGGGGACGCCCCTTAGCGGCGAGGTGAGGTATGACGTCTGGTCTTTGGACGTGATTAAGAGGAACCAGACCCTGCAGGTGGGCACGTTTCTCAGAGGTTCTGGAAAGAGCAAGACCCTGGATGAGACAGACTGACACAGCGGTGCACAAGGGTCCTGACCCTGGTGACTTGTCCGGTCACAGCCAGAAGACCCTCTGGAGCAGCGCTGTCCAGAACCCTGTGGGCACCGTGTGACCGAGGTGGGGCGCGCGCCTGTTCTGGGACACTGCTGACCAGAAGTTGAAGGACGGCCGTGAGCGAAGAGGTGCCAGCAGGTTCCAAAGGACGGGGTGTGGACACTGCTCAGGAGCCTCCGTGAGATGGACACTGTGACTTCAGCCCAGTGAACTGCAAGACGACAAATCAGTGTTGTGTTAACCCCCAAACCTGCAGTCACTTGTTGCAGCACCACAGGGAATGAAGACGAGTGATGTTCGTCAGGGCCAACGTGAGGCACCAGGACAGAGCGGGTGATGGCTGGAACGACTTCCGTCCCTGCGGGGCGTGTGACCAGGGTGGTGCTCATGGGGAGGCCCAGGCGGGGCAGCCAGAGGAAGGGAAAGCCAGGAACTGGGGGCTCCTGCCAAAGCAGCTGGTAGACGTGCGCAGGCCGGCAGGATTGATGGAAAGGTACAGGGGCCCCGACAAGGACTGCGGCAGGGATGGCTTTTTTTTTTTTTAGAAAAACTGTTTATTTAGCAAAACAAACATGAAGAAAGTTTTAATCATAAATAAAAACATATCCAAAGTTTAGCATCTCAATTTTCTTTGGTATTAAAATCAACATTCAGGAACAAAAATATTTTATATTAAATAGTTTAGTCACTGGGTCTACAAAAGTTTTCCACATAAGTAAAATACAAAATTATCAATATTTGCTCAACTCACTGAACAGCTGATGAATGAATAAAACACTCAATTGTATGGGTTCAGAGATTATGTTTACTGCTAACTGAATAATGAACAAATAAGAAACTCCTGCGCACACACGTAAGAATAACTTTTCCAGAAGTTGTTTTGCCACATGAGGTATTAGCAGTCCTTACTTTCAACATGATGACACCATTAAAAAGTTTTGGCATTTTTTTTGAACTGTGTGCTTCAGACATTTTCACAAAATAGCTTCTGGACACTGCTAATAGATTAAATAAAGATTAATTAATCTCACATAAATAATTTTTCTCAAGAGAGAAACATTGCTGAAAAACACATTTTTCATTTCTACTACAAGTAATATAAGGCCCGCAGAACTGGCAAAGCAAAGCACTTCCAGAAACATCAGAGCTGCTGTGCTTTGATATATTCTGTTTGCTCCAATTCTAATTCAGGGATGCTTCTTACTGAGGGTGGGGATGGCCCTGGGGGGCCAGGGAGGAGGAAGAGGACACAGGGAACGGCACGTGGGGGAGCCAGGCACCCCGTCCCGTGGGAGAGTAAGTGCCAGGTGTAGGGTGGTCACAGCGGGGCTCCAGGGCAGGGCTGACACGTGGAGTGGGAAGCTCTGACGTGGGGCAGAGGGAGTCCAGCCCTGTGCTCTGATGACACCAAGCTCCCCTCCGAAGCCTGCGCCCTGGCCAATTCCCACGGCTGGACTCTGGGAGTCAGAGGATGGAGAGGAAATGCAGCCACCACACCCAGGCCGACGATGACCTCTAGCAACCAGCTCCTCCTGACAGCACAGCCGAGTAATGCAGGGGACCAGTGAAGACGAGGGGAGCCCCTCAACAGGATGAGGGACACTGTGGCTACAACCAGAAGACTAAGGAAGGTGTGGGGCCCAGCTGCTTCCCTCTGCCATGAGGTGTGGCTGAGCTGGACTGGGCCCCACAGAACCTGATGACAGGGGAGGGGCTCGTGAATGGGGTGGGACCCCATGACAGAGATCAGGTTTCAGCTGGTTTTTTTTCTATACTGCTTCCAAGCAACCTTCACCTCGCGTGCATGCTTGGTGCATGCTTGTAGAACTACGTCTCTATTACTGCAAACACATAGGAGTTCTGTAAAGCAGCACTAAGAGATTCCTGTACCCCGCTGTCGCGGCTGCTCCTGGGGTGGTGTGCTGAAGAGCACGGACAGCTAACCTGGGGGCCACCGGCCCCCTGGACATCTCTGCCACCTACTGGGCACCTTGACCTGAGCCAAGAGGAGATCTGCAGTGCACCAGCCCCACTGGCCCCAGAGCAGGGGGCTGCAGCCTCTGCCCCCATTTGGGGCTCTCGGTGAACTGTGCTGCCTATTTTGAAAGGATCCATGAGAAGGCGGCCACATTTTGGCAAGCCGTGTACCCAAGTGTCCCTTTACTGTGCGACTCGACTGCCGATTCTGAAGCTGATGTGGACTCTTGAGTGGGCAGGGATGTCTCACGGGCTTGGCGACTCACCATGTCTTACCCCCTCTGGCGATGGCATCTGTCAGAGAACCAGCTCTGAGCTCAGGTGCTGCTGGGATGGGGCAGTGCTGGACATGGCCAGCAGCAAAACGGCTGGCTCCCTGTGCAGTGCCCTGGGGAGCCTGGTCAGCAGGTGTGGTCAGGGCATTAGTGTCAACTGAGCTGACCATTCTGTCCCGTGTCACAGCCCCACCTGGAGGAGACAGAGCTTAGACTGTGGCGAGGGTCTCAGCACCCCAGGTCAGAGCAGCCGGGGCATCTCACGTGGTGGTGTCCCTCAGGCCACTGCCCAGAGCCTCCTGAGGGGCAGCCACTTGGCTCTCTGATGCCCCCGGAGGCTTGCAGGTCTTAGGCTGAAGAGAGCCCCCTTTGAGACCCTGAGTGTTCATGGGGAACACTCTGGAGTGTTGCTACCGCTCGCTGTCCTCTCCACAGGAGCCCCTGGGGGATGGTGCAGGGCTGCGCTCTGGAAGGTCAAGGTCAAGTCTACCCCAGGCCCCAGAAAAGCCAGCCTAGGCTTGGAAACATCAGTCAGATGCTATGAAAGCAGGTTCTGCCAACACACACGGGGCCACCTGATGGCGATTGGGTTTCCTCCATGGAGCCAGCACTGCTTGTGCTGGGGGACTTGCAGGAATTATAACTGTACATGAGTCAATCTCATGGCCACTTAGTCTGAACCGACTCCTAGCTGACCCTCCAGTGGGTTTTCAAAGGTTGTAAATCACACAGGAGGAGACTGCCCATCTTTCTCCTTTGAGTAGCTGGTGGACGTGAACTCCAGGGAAGCGCAGACCCACGCCGTGCAGACCCATCAGAGCCTCAACGTACCACCAGCAAGAGGAAGTGCTCTGCCTATCAGAGGTTTGCCGTGTACAGGCCGCAGCCTCTCATGGAGCCACCTTGAAAGCAGGAGTCCACACACCTGAACCTCAAGGACCCAGCTCTCTTGTCAATTCCGTTATTAGAAAATAGGATTGGATACAAAATAGAATCACGGTTGAAAGCACATCACAGGAGCCATGCCGGCAGAGGGTCCCCAACATGTGAGGGCCAGCAGGTCTCCCTGCACCCCATGCTAGGCCTGGGGAGCAAGTCTAGACTGAGGCCTTGCAGGGAAACCGCCTGCCTGGTGTGGGTGGCAGATGCCGGGGTCCTGGGGCTGGCCTGGGGTCAAACCCCACTCTTCCGTCATTGCTCCCAATTCCTCAGCCACACTGAGCTCGCCAAAGGGAGCAACCATTCAGTGCTGGGAATCCCTGCTGTGTTGGACACTTCCCGTGTCTCCCTCGGCCTCACCTCAACCCACTTAAGGAACCCTGGTGATGTAGTGGTTAAGGCACTTAGCTGCTATCTAAAAGGTTGGTAGTTTGAAGCCACCAGCCACTTGCTGGGAGAAAGACAGGACAGTCAGTTCCCATAAAAACGTACAGGTCTCGAAAACCCTACGAGGCAGAGAAAAGAGGGTTCTGATTCTGAACGGACTCCCTCTGTCCTACAGGGCCGCTGGGTGTGGTCACTGCCTAAAGGCAGTGGGACAGGAAAGTGGACTCTGCCCCACCAGTGACAGTCTTGGAACAGCGCTCGGAGCCCTGCCTGCCAACAACTGAGTGCTCCGAGGTGCCAGCCAGGCTCCGGGGAGGGGCAGGTGGCACTTGGTGACAGCTTGAGGAGATGTCTCTGGTCTCTCCTGAGCAGGGGCTGGGCAGTCAGGGCACCCCTGAGGCAGAGCTCTCTGACTCCCAGGACCTCAGTGACGTGGGTCCAACCCCGTTCTGCAGGTGCCTCTCCTGCTCCTCCTCCACGAGGTCGGCCACCAGGTTCAGCCTGCAGGCCCTGAGGGACGCCACCAGCTGGGCCACCGTCGCGTTCTCCCGCTGAGCGGTCTTCCAGGTCCTCAGGGACTCCCTGACCTGCTCCGTCAGGTTGCGGGGGTACCGCTCTTCGATGGCGTCAATCTTGGCGTCTGAGATCCTGAGTTGACGAGCCAGTCTCTTCCAGTCCTTTCCCACGTTGTCACAGATGATGTCAAATGCGGGCCGCAGATCTGGAGGGAAATGACAGCAGGGTTGGCCAGAGATTTAGGGGACAAGCAGCCCACTCTTCTGCCCTCAGTGCCGACCTGGTTCTGAGCAGACTGATGAGGGCAGGAGCAGTCACACACAGCAAGGGTCTCTGAGGTCTATGACGACAACTGGTGGAGAATGGCCCCCAGCTGACCCTGCCCAGAGCACCTTCCGGCTTCCCTCGGAGAGGGTCAGGGCAGGCAAGGCCAGCTGCTGAGGTCAAGGGCACAGTGTAAGGGCTAGGGAGCAGTCAGATTCCACAGTGCACTCACAGAAAAGGTGAATAGCAGACTCTGAAGATGTGCTCACCTCATACCACCACTACCTGGAAAAGGGTTCCTGCAGATGTGCCCAGACTCCTGGGATAAAATCATCTCAGACTAGCCAAACCTTTAACGTAATCCATGGCTGCCAGGCCCACGCTGACTCACGGCAACGCTCCACGGACTTCTGAGGTTGTGAGTCGGCCTGATAGGTGCACATGGGGTTTACTGGTGGGTTTAAACAGCTGACCTTTTCAACTGCAGCCCGACACATAACCTACTTTGCCACCATGTTCCCTGGGTTAAATCCAGTGCCAAGCATCACCCCCAGAGAGGAGGTGGTCCTGTGAAGACAGAGGCAGACCAGAGAGGTGCAGCAGAGCTGAAAGCTGGGCCAGGGCCCTCTACTGCGGGGGCATGGCCTCATCACACCCAGCTCCTGGATTTGTGGCTTCCAAGATGGTAAGAAAATGGATGCCTCTTGTTTCATAATCACCCAACTGCGGTCATCCATGGTGGCCGCCCTTGTAAGACGATAAGGCCCCCCAGAGATGGAAGCGGTTGGCAATTGGTCAATAACTTGAAGGCTGCAGTTTGAACCCAACCAGGAGCCCCACGGAAGGAAGAGCTGGCAACTTCCTTCTGTAGAAATCACAGAAACTAAAGCTCTTTCTGTAATGTTGAGAAGCTGCTGGAGCAGTTGGGAGCCGGCCTGACAGCAGGCCACAAAGACAGGCATGCTGACTCTGATGACCACGTTTACCTGCTGGTCACTTCACAGCTCCTAAGCTGGTCAGCTGCTGTGGATACAGGGAGAGAAGCACTACTGACCATAACTGATGCATTTGTGGGATGGTTTTTTTGAGGGGTGCATGAGTCCAGGTACAGAGCCCTGAGAACCTGTCCGTGTGGAGGCCTGCTCATCTAACCCGGAGGGCAGCCCTGCACGGTACTACTGTGACCACTGTACAGACAAGGAAACTAAGGCACAGGAAAGCCCTGTGACCTGCCCAGGACCAGGCAGCCAGACCAGGGAAGCTCTTGAATCACACACCGGCTGCGTGGCTCCAGTGTCCATTCCTAAGTCACCTCAAGTGCCTTTTGTGAAAGAGAAACTCAGAGTGGACATCACCAACCTGCCCAGGCCCACTGACCTCCACCATGACCTGTCCTGACAGGCGGCTGCCTGCAGCATCCAAGCTGGTGGCCTCCCTCCAGGGAGGGACTCCGTGTGCAGCGCCCACAGACACCGCTGCCTGTGCAAAGCTCTCATTTTGCTTCTGGAAGCTCCTGCGCCCCGACAGCTAACATCTCTGAACCACACCGCTCAGTTTCCACTTGCAAAGCGGGCCATTCCCGTTTCCCAGGGTCAGGGAAAAGGTGCGCAAATCAAGACTGGGAGGCAGGGCGCCAGGAGGCCCACCAGGCAATGACCGCAGGGTGCGCTGGACCAAAGCACAGCCCTCCTTCCCGGCCCAGCACCCACCGCCATCCGGGCCGCATCCCTTCTCCTTCCCGGTTCCTCCATCCCCTCCCCATCCCGTCCCTGATCTTCCTCCGTCCCCTCCCCATTCCCGGCGCCCACATCCCTCCATCCCCTCCTCAGGGCCCTCTTCCTCCGCCTCCACCCAGGTCCCCATTCTCTTCCCAGGAGCCCACCTTCCTCCGCCCGGCCCCATCCCCATCCCGACCTTCCTCCGTCCTCTGTCTTCATCCCCGTCCCCGGCGCTCACCTTCCTCCGTCCGTCCCGTCCCCACCCCCCGTCCTCGTCCCCATCTCCATCCCGTCCCCTGTCCCCATCCCCGTTCCCCACCTTCCTCGGTCCTCTGTCTTCATCACCATCCCCGTCCCCTGTCCCCATCCCGTCCCGGCGCCCACCTTCCTCCGTCCGTCCCCCGTCCTCGTCCCCATCTCCATCGCGTCCCCAACCCCATCCCGACCTTCCTCCATCCCGTCCCCCGTCCCCATCCCCGTCCCCGGCGCCCACCTTCCTCCGTCTTCTGTCTTCATCCCCATCCCGTCCCCCACCTTCCTCCGCCCCCGTCCCGACCTTCCCCCGCCCCGTCCCCTCCCCGTCCCGACCTTCCCCCGCCCCGTCCCCTCCCCGGCGCCCACCTTCCTCGGCGGCCGCGGCCCCGGCGCTCGTGTCGAAGTCGTCCAGGCGCCGCAGCAGGTCCTGGCGCCGCAGGGAGGCGAGCAGCTCGCGCAGCAGCTCGGGGCGGTCGCGGCCCAGGTCGCCCTGCTCGATGAGCACGGTGAAGAGGTCCAGGCCGCTGTCCACGCGCTCCAGCTTCCTCTTGCCCACCCGCCCGCCGCACAGGAACTTGAGCTGGTCCAGCTCTGCCTTCGACAGGCCGGCCGACACCGAGTGCAGCAGCACCAGGAACGGGTCCATGGCGGCGAGCTGGCCTGGGGCCCCGCGCTGACCTCAGCCCCGCGCTGACCTCGCACCCCGCGCTGACCTCAGCCCCAGGCCGGAGCGACCCGTAACCGGAAGTGCAGCCCGCCGCCCGGGTGAATCAGCCTCACATCTCGCGAGAGCTCCGCCCCCGCGCATGCGCTGCAGCCTCGCCCGCAGCCACTTCCGCGTGCGAGGCGCGTGGCGGCCGCCGGGGGGCGCACGGACCCGGGGAGGGTGGTCAGTGCGGCCTGGTCAGCTGGTAGCTCGGACATCCTGGCTGGCCGGCCTGGGGGCCACTCTCTACTGACAGCTGGGGCTCTGGGGCGAGGCCAGCCCGCCGCGGCGGAGCTGTCCATCCCAGAGCACGGCCCCTGCGTCCAAGCGTGGTCTCTACCCAGGGTCCCAGACCTCAAGGTCCTTGCTGACCCCTTGCTCTCCCGGACCCACCACCTACATGCATGGTGGACACTGAAATCATGTCGAATGTGATTCATGATCATGTGTGCAGGGGAGCGCTGGTGGCTTAGCGGTAAGGAATTGCACTGCAAACCAGAAGGTCTGCGGTTCAAATCCACCCGCTGCTCCCCTGGAGGCGGATGGGCAGTCTCCTCCCGTGCGATTTACTGAAGACCCGCCGGAGGGTCACTGACCGGACGGTGCGCAGCACATCGAGGACGGTGTGTCGAGTAGATCTGGGCTCCATAGGCTTTTTGAAGCTGCCACCCTCCGACGTAGATAGCCAGGCCTTTCTTCCTAGGCTTTTACCTGGGTGGATTTGAACTGCAAATCTTTCTTCTAGTGATTGAGCCCTTTGCGGGATCATTTCCCACCCAGGGATTGTTTCATGCCTCAGGCATTCCGTGCATGGAAAAGACTATTCAGAAATTTACTTTGGTTTTAAGATTCAATTAAATTAACTCTCATTAAAAAAAATGATAGTCATGTATTAAGCACTGGTGGCCTAGTGGCAAGAAGCTGCGCTGCAGTCCCAATGGTTGGCAGTCTGAATCCCCAGCTACTCTGCAGAAGAATGGGCAATCTCTTCCCATACAATTAACAGCCTCAGAAAATCCGCTGGAGTGTCAGCTATGACAGTAAACAACAACAACAGTCATTTGTTTTAAAAATTCCTGTTGAATAGCTGCCTTATGCCAGAGGTCCTGCAGACAAATTCAAGAACAGGTAGAAGAGGTCCTGCGTACCTGAGTGCTTGCATGTTAAGACTTCTGCAGTGCCCATCTGGAACGCATGCATACAGAGACTCAATACACAACTTCCAGTGCCGGCTTGTGGTTGGTTAATGTCACTACATGTCAAGGACCCCTTACAGGTGTTTTCTTAAAGGGATTTTCCTTTTAGTTTTACAGACCCCGAGTCCCAAGAGTGAATAACCAGGGGGGCTTCCTGGTAGCACTCCAATCCATCCCCTGACTCAGTGCCTCCTTTTCCTCTCCTGGCTTCGTGCATCGCCCAGCAGCCGTCCACTTTCACTCTCAGGCCCCTGGCTAAGGACATTGGGGGTTGCGCTGGTCCGGGAGGCTTCCCCAGGTGGGCAGCCATGCCCGGGACACCCACACACCTGGCCCCTGCGGCACCTCTGACGCCAGCTCCCCCCGCCCCCCTCACAGCAATGCGGCCGGACATGGCACTCCGACTCCGAGCTGCACACCCGGTAAGGGTAGTCCATCGCCTAATGGGCACAGCCCTCGGGGTGTGTCCAGTGCTTCTTAGAAGCTTTGACACAGGTCTTAAGGGAAGTGAATTATGGGTTATACAGGGCTGCCAGTGAATCCCATGGTGTCACACTAGGTCAAATAGAGTAAGGTCCTCCTTTACACAAGGTTAACGATGGGGAATGACACCTACCTGTAATAAGGAAATTGTGTTCCATGCCACACGGAGGGGCATGTGGACTTCCAGAACAGAGGGAAGTTAAAGTGGTGGTCTCTCCTGGGAAGGGGTAGGCTGCAGTGAGGAGTGTGGTCTGCAGGGGAACCAGAGAACAGAGGCACGTGGAGGGTCCAGGTGCGGAGAGGAGCTTCTGTATCTGGAGCAACGGGCAGGCGGGAGGGGCCCCTACCCTGAGGCCCCTGGCTGGATAGGGACCTCTCACTGAGGGCCGGGTGGAGCCTCTGCAGAGTGTGGCCCCGATGATGCAAGCAGGTAAATAGAGCAAAACTGTCAAAGAGCCTGCCAGAGAAGGAAAGGCCTTCTCCGCTAATCCAGACTGATAGAGAAGTGTCAAGGCTGTTGTTTCATGTAGTTGGCTTGGTTCACAGCATCCTATGTGGTGGTGGTATCAGTGCTGTTGAGTTGACTCCTTTCTGAACTGTCCTGTCCTGTCACACCCTTACAACCTCTGACATACTCAAGCCCATTGCTGCGGTCGCTGTGTCAGTCGTCAACCCTCCACCTTTCCAAGCATGAACAACCTTGTGTTCAACAGAACAAAATCCTGCCCAGTCCTCCGTCCTCCCAGGCACAGCCGCGCTTCAGTCCACGCTTGTAGCCCCGACGTTGGTCTGTCTCATTGAGAGAGTCTCTTTTTCACTGACCACTTGCTTTAGTAAGCATGATGTCCTCTAAGGACCGGTCCTTCCTGCTAGCATGTCCAGTGTCAGTGAGAGGAAGGCTCCCACCCTCCTTTCTAAGGATACAAGGAGCCAGAGTTGTTCACTCTTGGCAGCCTATGGCTTATTCAACATTCTTCACCAATGTAATAATTCAAAACCATCAGTTCGCCTTTTATTTGCTTTATTCATTATCTTCTACATACATATGAGACAACTGAAAATATAGTTTGGTTCAGACACACTTTAGTCTTTTTTTTTTTTAAATGTTGCGCGTGTGTGTGTGTGTGTACGTCACAAGAAATCTGACTGGTACAGGAGGAGATTGCCCCCTTCTTCTCCAGAAGAGCATCTGGTGGATCACACCTTAGTCTTTAAAGTGGCTTCTTTGCTCATAAGCACTTTAAAGAGGTTTTTTATTACAAGGGATTCATTACTGCCCACTGCAATACATTTTATTTCTTTTGTAAAAATATTTTCATTGAGATTTTAATGAACGTTTGTAGAGAACTCGGCTTTCTATTCATCCATTGCTGCACTTTTTCCTTCCTACTCACCCCCCAGGTTTTTTTTCTCTTTGAAAAAGAATCTTTCATTGTTGCACAATTTCCACCCCCCAGGCCGCTTTGATTTGCAGCTCTTATTCTGGACTGTTGTCATGCACATAACACCTATTCATATATTCCTTGTAAACAGTCCTTTCCATCCTCTGTTTCAATGCAGTGTGCGTTAGTTATCCTCTCTTTTCTTAGTTTCCCTGCAAATCCCATGTCAGTCCTATTTTGTAACACTGGCACTACGCAGTATTTGTTCTTTTGTGACTGAGATATTTCACTCAGCATAATGTCCTCCACAGTCACCCATTTTGCATAATATTTTATGAATTTCTTGTTTTTCAGTGCTTCGTAGTTTTCCATTGTGTGAATATACCAGTTTCTCTATCCATTTGTTTGTTGATGGGCACTTTGGTTGTTTCAAGCTCTTTGCTATTGTGAACAATGTAGCAATAAACATAGGTGTGCATATTTTCTTTTATTTTAAAGTAGTGAAATAGGTATAATAGTTTTCACAATCAGTTCTCAAAACAATACACACACACACACATTAGAGTAGTTCAATAGGTATAAAAATTTTCACAGTTCTCAAAATTGTGTGAAAGATTTTATTCGGCACCATTACACACACAGAATGTGAACAAAGGCACAGATTTGAAAGCTAGTCTCTTCCCTCTATGCTATCCCTGCTCACCTCCTCCACTCTCACACACTTGCTTTCCTGACAGCTGCATCCGTGAGCGTTGATTCAGGATTCAAAGAGAATGAAACCCCTGACTATTGTGTCAGTCTTTTCGCAGTTCTTACTCTAGCTCTTTCTCTCCCTCCAGAGCTGCTGGGTGGGTCAAACCTCCAACCTTTCACTTAGCAGTGGAGCCAGCCAGGAGCAGGATGCTTGGCTCCAGGTGCCCACAGGTCTTATCCCAACGCGTTAAAATACACATCAGTGAGTGTGCGGCACTACTGGGCCACATGCTACCACGCAACTCCTTAAAACACAACCCAGGAGCCAGACCGACTCCGCGCCGCCATGGCCGACAAAATGGACATGTCTCTGGATGACATCATTAAACTGAACCGGAGCCAGCGAGGTGGCCGCGGCGGACCCATCCGGAACCGGGCCGTCGCCCGCGGCGCAGCTGGAGGAGGCGGTAGGAACTGACCGGCACCGGATAGCCGGTCCAGAACTTTCCTCTCTAATTACTACCGGGATCATAATGTGGAACTATCCAAACTGCTGCACAGACTGGGACAACCTCTGCCATCATGGCTGAGACAAGAACTACAGAAAGTGAGATAGCATTGGAGACAAGACCAACACTCTCAAGATACTTACATTTGCTGTTAAATAAAAAAAGAAAACCCCACATCATCTATCCCCTAATGCACTTGTGATTGTCTGAAGAAGATTATGTGAATAAATTTTCTTCTATCATTTTTCCTAAAAAAAAACAAACCCCACAACAAAAACAAAAACAAAAACAAAAACAACCCAAACAAACAAACAAACAAAAAAAACCCAACCCAACCCAACACAGCCACTTTGCAAATAAGTCTCCTCTCTCAAATCACCATGAGGCTCGAATTAATCCATTCCAAGCAAACAAAAGTGATTTGGGCTTCTGTCTTGTTCTTTCACTAATCAGAGAGAGGGCCTGGCAGAGGCCCATGGCCCAGTGGGGAAGGTGAAGGCTGGCCCCGGGGGACGACACGGTATGACTTTGCTTAGGTCTGCGTGGTGGACACGGTGTGACTGACCTCCATCAGCAGATCCCAACAGTACTTTCTCATTAAGAGAACAGTGAGGTGTGGGTTGCCTTGATTGTGCCTGATCCCCCCAATATCAACAGGAAGAGGGAACCCCACAGGC